AAGGGTGACTCTACAAAGTACATATTAAGCTTAATTACTAAGTTTATAATAATGGCTGTACAGGAACTCGGACCAAAATGTCTCCTGCTGCTGAGAGCCGTTCCCACTCCACCTTGGGCCTTGGGCATGGGGCTGCCAGCCCAGAGGTCAGCCTGAGGAATAAGAGAGACTCGAGAGCTTCCTTTCTCAATAAGACAAGCCCACAGACTCCAGAGAAGTGCTAAGCCTTGAGAAAGGCAAAGCTAAAAGCTAACTGCAATTCTAACAACCAGGGATGCTCTACTGGACCCAAGCTGACAAGGCCTCATTGAGAGTCAGCCGACTTTGGTAAGATGAACACTTCAGAAGGCTTTTCTGGGTTAGTGTCTAGAGAAAGACAAAGGGGGTAGCAGGAAACTATGAGGATCCTAGAGTTGTGAACATTCAGTTGAGACACATTGTTTTTTAATTTTCTTCAGTTCAAGGATGGTTATCCACAGATCTCTCCCCATACTCACGCTCACAAAATATCTAATCGAGTTCTATCCAAGTCCCGGACTATCTGGCCACGCATCCAGCCAACTCATGGCCAGTGGGCATTAACCAATATAGACTTTTCCCTGTACACTGCTTATTCTTCTAAGTCAAAGGTACAAGCAAATACCCTGCTTAGTGGCCTGTCCCCCAGAGGGTTTCTCTTCACCATTGTCCTCGGACATGTTCCAGAAAGGCACATGGTGTTCTAGCTATCAACTTGCAAGTAGAGCAGGCACATCACATAGAACCATCTGTCACCAGCATGCATGTGTTCCTACTCAGCCAATCACAAAGAACTCACCAGGGAGACTAAGTTCAGACTGTGGAGGAGAAAGTAGCACTTGGACCACTTCCTCGTGCAACCTGCTCTGGCTTTCAGGGACTACTTGTGGTCATCTAGAACGCACACTGACATCTGATGGTGTGTACTTGCTGCGCATGCCAGCTCTGTGACCTAAAGAGTCAGATACCACTGAGTTTACGATGCGTATGTAGCCACTTTAGAAATTTTAAAGTTCATGTGTCAGACTTTGAGTTGTCTTTCTAAAGGTTTGTTTTATTTTTAAGTATGTGTATATAAGAGATAGCATGTGAGCTTGTGGTTGCTGGTGCTCATAGAGTCCAAAAGGGTTGGGATTAATGAGTCCTGGCCTTCAGTTGCTTTTCCCTCCTAGAACCTTCTAATATAAGTTACTAGAAGCTGTGCCTAGTTAGAGGGTCAGAGGTTGACCATTGACTGCAGTGTATTTAAGTCTACATGGTGGTACTAAAGATGGGCTTTCTGAACCATCGTTTGGGAGCTGCGTGTGTCAGTCTGTCTCTGCATCTGTGTCTTCAACCTCCAGCCCCTTGCCCGAAACTCGGTAACTGGGTGCCAGAGCACAGAGCGCAGACACAGGGGCGCAGTGAGCGGCACAGAAGAGGGCTTCAGATCTCCTGGAGCTGGAGTTACAAGCAGTTGTAAGCCACCCAACACGGGTGCTTCAAACTGAACTCGGCAAGAGCAGTATATACTATTTTTTGTTTGTTTGTTTTTTGAGACAGGGTTTCTCTGTATAGCCTTGGCTGTCCCCATACTAACTCTGTAGATCAGGCTGGCCTCAAACTCAGAGGTCCGCCTGCCTGTGCCTCCCAAGCGCTGGGATTAAAGGTGTGCGCCATCACCTCCCGGTCAGTACATACTCTGAACGGCTAACCATCTCTCCAGCCCTGGCTTCACGTTGTTAAGATGTCAATATGTCTTAAACTGATTAATCAGAAGACTCAATCAATGCACTTCTATTATAACCCTAGCTGCTAGTTTTCTTTAGAATAGTCAAGGAACTCAGAATGGGTCAAACAACCTTGAGAGGTAAGAATATAGCTGGAGACCTCTTGTTTTTCAATTATAAAATCTACCGCTAAAGTAATGTGACAGATTAGAATTGACAGTCCAGACATAGTCTTAAAATTTATTGTCAATTAGTTTTCAGCAGGAACACAGAGATTGTTCAATGAAGAAAGAATAGTGTTTTCAAAAATAGCACTGAGATGAATGGATACCCGTGTGCTAGAAGAAAACTGGGCCCTGCCCAGTATAATACAGAAAATTATTTCAAAATGAATCAAAGACCTAAATGACACTTTTAGGGCAAAACATAAAATTAAATTTTCATGTTCTTGGGTCAGGCAATCATTTCTTAGATCTACTCCAAAAGTAACACGAGAAAAAAATTAATTGAACTTTATCAAAGTAGAAACCTTTATAAGACAAAGAATACCATCAAGAAAATACAACCAGGTGTGGCATCACAAGCCTGTAATTCCAGCCCCTGGGAGATAGAGACAGGAAAATCAGGAGTTCATCTACAAAGCCAGCCTGGCAGCTTGATCGCACTTCAGGGGATGATCTGTTACCTACAAGTATAATAACAGCTTGCTGTGGAGTCGATGGGTATTAAATAAAATGTTTTAAGGGAGAACACAAAGTTGGGGAGTTAGAAAGGTGGGGATGGATCTGGGAAAAGCTCAGAGGAGGAGGTGAGGGCGAATATGATCAAAATACATTGTATGAAATTTTCACAGAATTAGTAAAAAATAAAATATCAAAAGAGAAAAAAAGTGATAGTACAAATGCACAGAAAAACATTTTCACATAAAATATCTGACTAAGGTTGTATCTACAATATAGCTTTCAAAGTCTTAAAGCCTAGGGCTGAAGATTAAGTGATTAAGAGCACTTGCTGCTCCTCCAGGGACCCAGGTTCAGTTTCCAGCATCTACGTGGGCACTCATAAACATCTGCAACTGCAGTCCCAAGGGATCAGACCCTCTTCTGGCCTCCACACTGCACATATGTGGTGCATAGACATATCTACAGGCAAAATAAGTATGCACATAATATAAAACAAATATTCAAAAACAAAACTTTAAAGCTCAAGAGTTTAGTGAACAAGAACTCATTGTCAAGATGGATAAATGACCTGAATAAACATTTCTCTGAAGAGCATATATGACTGACCAATAAGCCTGTAAAAGAAAGGTGTGGCAGCTGGAAAGAAAACGGTCCCCGTGGGGAGTGTCACTATTAGGAGCTATGGCTTTGTTGGAGTTGGTGTGGCCTTGTGTCACTTTGAAGGTGGGCTCTGAGGTCTCCTTTGCTCAAGCTATCTATCTCTAGTGTGAAATGCAGCTGCTCATGCTGCCTGCAGAACAGGATGGAGAACTCTCAACTCCCTCTCCAGCACCATGTCTGCCTGCATGCCACTATGTCTGCATACAATGAAGACAGTGGACTAAACCTCTGAAATTGTAAGCCACCCCCAATTAAATATTTTCCTTTGTAAGAGTTGCTATGATCCAGCCAACATTGAGTCAAGTTCAGGGAGTCCTGCTGAGGAGAGGGAGGAGGGATTGTAGGAGTCATAGGGGTCAGGGACTTCAGAGGAAAACCCACAGAAATGGCTAGCCCAATACAGAGGAGGAGTGGATGGGGCAGGAGGAGGGGAGGGAGGAGAGGAGGCTGTGGTTGGGATGTAAAATAAATTAATTAACTAATCTTTCAAACAATAAAAATAAGAAATATAGTTATTTTTTAAAAGTATTGCCGTGGTCATGGTGTTTCTTTACAGCAATAAAAACCCTAAGGCAATACTCCCCATCAATAGCCACTGGGAAAATGGAAATCAAAACCATAGAAAGATACCATTTCACACTCCCAAGGTGCTATGCTAGATTCTTCATACACTGCTGAAGTAATGCCAGGAACACGGGTGACTCATGGGTTCCTCTACCATGAAAGTCCCACCCCAACTCAACCTTCTGCCTCTTATATACCCTACCATCCCCAAGATCCTGTGCAGCTGGGTCAGGAGGGAATGGTGACCAGACTCTCAAATGAAGGACTAGAGAACCCCCTCCCACAATCTCCTTCCACAGAAAGTGTTAGCAGCCTCATTATCCTGGAGTTAGCTACAAACTACATAATAGTTACAACAGGATAATGCAGTTATAATAGGGTAATTAGGTTATCCTAGACTTAGCATTGTCTGATTATTTCATTGACTTGCCTGTGGGCAAGGTCTTCCCAAATCACCATACCTGCTCTGCTTCAAGATGGCAATGCTCATGACAAACCTAAAGAAAACAGTTACACTCCACACATCCTCTCAGGTCAGCCTAGAAACAGTATGAGGCATATGGTGACATAATCCAAGCAATCGGGAAGCTGAGGCAGAAGGATTTGGAGTTCAAAGTCATCCTAATCTATACTACAAAACACTTCTTTAAAAAAATGCTGGGTGGTAGTGACACACACCTTTAATCCCAACACTTGTGGAACAGAGGCAGATCTCTGAGTTCCAGGCTAGCCTGGTCTATAGAATGAATTCCAAAACAGTCAAGACTATACAAAGAAACTCTGTCTTGAAAAACAAGGCAATAATAATAATAATAATAATAATAATAATAATAATAATAATAATGTTCAAATCAAATTCTTAGGAAGAAAGTATTGTTGGCCTGTGTCTCAAAGAAGAAAACCCAAGCTCAGAAAGGTATCAGTTCTGTATCCCAAGTCACATAACTCTGCCAGGACAAATCAGGACTCAAATCCAGTTCTGTCGATTCTATTGCTACTGCCCTTCCCCAGTACTACTCCTGGTGCCAGGATCCCAGTCTTGGGCCCTGGATACTGTGTGCTCTATCTACCCCCACTCCTGCCCTCTCCCAAGCCCCATGCTGCTGGTTGGGTTCAGACTTTCTGTTCATTTCCCTTGCCAGCCAGTCTGTGAACAAAAGCTAATCTTGGCAGAATAGCTACCTGGCTCCATTCCTTATGGGAAGGAAGTCCATTGCTAGAGAAGTACACTGTGTCTAAGGAAGCCCTGGAGGTCTTAGGGGAAAGGGACAGAAAATGTTCTCCTCTGCAAATGGGTCAGGCAAGAGACTCCTGCCTACCTGTCTACTTACCAGGGACCCTTAGAAGGAGGGGGGACAAGAAAAGCATGACCCTTGCACAGGAGCTCACGGCCAGATCCCTATTTCAAACAAACATCAGAACAAAGGGTCATAGTGGACCAGCAGTGGGAATTCAGGCACTCCGTAGTGGGGATAGTCAGAGCTCTGGTTTGTGCCGTAAGTTCATAGATCGATGTCTAACCCAGTCCTCACCCCTTCTCAGGGTAATACAGCAAGTTTAGAATGGTCTACCTACTCCCGTTCCCCTTCTGGTCCTTAGCAACAGGAGGGCTGGGCTGGGAGACAGGGCTTTTCCTAGGAGAGAAGATTGTGGAAGGTGGGATGAAGAAGATGAGGGGAGGGTGGCGTCAGTTATCATTGTCATCTCACCTGACAGGTCAGGCCTTAGTGCAGGGCTGCTTTCATTGGCTGAGTCAGTCAGGCCAGAGGCAGGCTGGTGGAATACGGGCCAAATATTGCCAGAGTGTGCTGTTCCTTCATAAAGAGAGGATGAGCTGCTCAGAGCTCAGCAAGAGTTTCAGGACCATGGTCAAGATGAGTGGTAAGTGGGGACCTCCTCCAGGTCTGGGAAAGACTGAGCAAAGAAGTGTTAGACACTGAGATAGGCATAGGTGCTGGAGGGGAGAGGGACGTGGGTCAATGGGTGGGGCAAAAATCTCAACGAAGGATCATATAAGAATAAAGAGAGTAAGAACTGAGGCAGGGATTCAGCTTTACCAGGACCTGAGGATGGAGAGGAAATGGGTCTAAGGGTTGGATCTATTCAAATGAAAGGACAGAGAGGCCAAGAAACAAATCCTTAGGGGAAACTGTAAGGGCTGGAGACTGGAGAAGAAGGTTAAGGAAGATCTGTGGGGTGGGGAGAGGGATGGAGGCTTAGGGGTCTCTCCTTTGGCCTTGGTGATGTCTCTCCTCTTTTCTAGTGAGCTGTCTGTGTGTTGGGAAGGGTCTAATGGACCTTCTTAGCTAGTGACCCCTAAAATTCTTCTTCTTTTGAGGAGCTTCAGTTACCTTGACATTGCAAAGACCAAACACAGGGGGCTCTCAAAACTCAGCTTCTGGGAGAAGCTCAGAGTTACAGTCCTTGCCTGGTCCACTTAAGAGCAGGCGACACTGAGGAAAGCAACTAGCCCTTTGTGTCAGACAATACTAGCTAACGGTGAAAGAGGAAATTAAGTCACTCAGGCCTTGCTACAAGGTATTCACCAACTATTTGAGTGATGAGTTCTAACCTTGATGTCACACTAAATACCTGGGAGGCCTGAAGAAACCAAAGATGAGGCTGGAGAAAACATAGGGACCATCTGTTTCCCATAGGTCACTTTTCACTCCCCACTCAGGGACCTGAGCCTTCCTCCCTTGCACACTCGCTTTCTCACACGTACACACACCCCTCCCTCCCTCTCACTTGCTCGCTCATTCTCTTCCCCACACAGCTTCACCTCCAGACCCCACACAAGCCTCCACCTTCTTGGACATCTCATCCTCCTCACTCACTCTCAAATCCAGCCCAACTCCCACTCCAGTTCAGTGCATCTCACTTTCCTGTGGACTCATACACACTCAGAACAACCACACCGTTCCACAAATGCATCCATCACGTACAGCCATGAACTCTGCAGTTATACAAAGACCAGACTACAACCACCCTCCTACCCACAAACTGACAGTTATACACGATCACAGTCCTTTACACACTTGTAGGTAAGCACAACATCACACTCCCCATCAGAAGCAGATATACGCATAGTCAGCTATGAACCTCCCACACCCACGAGCTTCCAGCATGCAAGCTGTGTTCACAATCACATTAATCAGACAAATAACACTACGGTTCACAATGTCCTGCACAACACAATTGCCTTTATATAGACATAACACCAAATATCCGGATCTCCAGCCACACACTTGTCAGGCCCTGCCCTCACCTCACTACCCTCTGCCCACTCCTACAGTAAACTCATCCTGGATAAACAGGTTCCAGAGCCTGGGTTCCAGAAAGGCCACACTCTTGTTTTCTCTGCCTCCAGGTATCTTTATTTTGGGGATCCTGCTATCCATCTCCAACTGCCTTGCCTTCTACGAGGACCTTTTCAGGTGCTTCCAGGGCCCTGATTACGAGAACTTCCTCTTCATAGCCCAGAATGGGCTCCATGCCTCCCCACTGCCCAAGAGTGTGGTGGTAATAGGAGCTGGCTTAGCAGGCCTAGCGGCAGCTAAAACCCTACAAGATGCTGGTCACAAGGTAAGAAAATCTTGAAAGGCCTTGATCATAAGCCTCCAATTTGCCTCCTTGGGGAGAAAAGGAGTGAGTAGCCTGACAGGGAATGAGGCACAACTGCAGGTGCCTACCAGTCTCTGAGTGCCCCCTCCCCCCAGCCCTTAATCATTGTCAACTGCTATTCATGTCCTTATGGAGCAAAGAATGAAGACTGCAAGAAAATCACTCAGGACCCTTGGAGCAAACAGCCCCAGAAAGGTTATCCTGCATGTTCATGGCCTTCAAGTCAGAGCCTACAGCTATTTGGAGGTGATAAGGGGGATGGGAAGAAAGAACAGCACTCCTAAGAATGACAGCAGCTTCTTTGAACTCCAGGTCACCATCTTGGAGGCCAGTAGCCACATCGGAGGTCGGGTGGTCACAGTCAGAAACAAGACAGAAGGGTGCTATTGCTAGAACTTCAAGCACTATATTGAAGAGGTATGGAGAGAGTGGACATCCTTGTCTTGTTCCTGATTTTAGTGGGATGGCTTTGAGTTTTTCTCCGTTTAATTTAATGTTAGCTGTCGGTTTGCTGTAAATAGCTTTTATTATATTTAGGTATGACCCTTGTATCCCTAGTCTCTCCAATAC